TTCATGATCGCACCAAGCATATTGAGATTGATTGTCATTTCATTCGACAGCATGTTACACGTGGTACTGTTCATCTTCTCCCTATTGCTTCTGCCGATCAACCTGCTGATATTTTCACCAAGGCTCATCCTCCTGGGCGCTTCCGTGATCTTGTTTCCAAACTCAACTTGGTCGATGCCTACCCTCCTTGAGTTTGCGGGGGGCTGTTAATATATAATATACATCACACTATAGTACTATAGTACATTTGTAGCTATGAAGGGCAAACACCCACTACTACACAATTTCAGCTTTAGCAGTAGCTTTTATATTGTTTTAATGTAGCCTTTATGCTTTCGGTGCTCCATTGTCTCATTCTCCTCTCTATAAAGAGAGATAGCTCATTCTCTTGTAAATCACAAATACAATTACAGACATTGAATATATCAGTCATTCAGTCTGTCTCTTTTCTCTCTCTCTCTTTACCAATCTTACACCTAGATCTCCCAATCTCCATAGACAAGGGAAGAACAGAGTAGCAACGGCGTCGATGGTTTTCGATCTTCTTTGTTTGAAAATTTTAGTCTGTTGGACTTAGGATTCCATGCTTATTTGAAGTGATTTTTTTTTTTTTTTTTTTTGGGTGGGTGTTGTTTTTGTGTTCCTAAGGTTGATGTTGTTGATGCTCACTTGGAATTTAAGCTCTGTTGACACTTACTTTAAATCCACTTGCATTGCTCACTTTGGAGAATTTGAGCTCCAACAAGTACCAGGTACATTGGTTGTTTATTATTCATCAATTGTTTTTTTTTTTTTTTAACCCCTTCTTGATATGAATTGCAATTAAATTTTTTTATCTACTCATCTATGCCCTTGAATTGCAAAGAAAAAAATCAAGTAAGCTCTTCCCTTCATGAAATGGAATCTGATGGGTGGAGGGTTCTTCCCGACGGCGCTGTTGCTGTGCACTCCGGCGGTTCTTCTGACCCGAATTTCTCTTTGAATCGAATCCACAGCTATGGCTGAAATGAAGAGAAGAGGACGACTGATTTTTGATTCATTTGGTCTGAATATGTTGATCGCAAAAAAAAAAAAAAAATCTCTCCGTTAAGACAAAACGGCGTAATTTTGCTAACAAGAAGGTTCCATTAATTTCCTTCCTTCTCTGCGACGTGGATAAGTTTCAGTGCCTTAGATCTTCTCTCAGCCACGTGTCGCCATCCTGTTAAAAGTGCAGAACAGTGCTGGAAGGAGGACTGCTGGAGAGTATCCAAATCCCGGCATACTCACTCATAAGCTCTCTCTTCTTTCACATTCCACGACCTCTACCCTACCCTCTACTGTGCAAAAAAAACTTGCCCCACCCTTCACCATTAACACAAACTCAAAAACAGATTTTTCCTATTTGATAATATCACACCATCCAATTAAAAAAGAAATCATTCAGAAACATTACCAATCAAATCACCATCCACAAAAACCCAACAAAATGAAAGTGGAAAATGCACAGAACCAGAATGAAATCCAACACACGGATCGGTCTTAGTTAAACAGAGAAGTCGGTTCGACGAGTTCCAAAATTAAAAAATTCTTTGAATTTAATCTTAAATGGGCTCAAACATCTTGAAGTATGTTCCAAAACTTTTGAACCACGGAACTCAAAGTGATAACTGGGTGAGCCAACAACGATCTCTTATTGGCATAAAGCACATAGTAACTATAAACTACATTCAGAAAGTTGGACTGTTGTAACAGCCTCGCTAGAATTAAAACAAAAGAGCATGATAATAATCATTACCAAAGAACAACCAAATATTACTTGCACTCTATTCCTACTGAAAGTAATGTAAGCAACTGAATCTTCATAGGAAAGAATCAATCTCATTCTGTACTCTCAGGAAAAGGAATGGAAGCAAAACAATGGTAATAGCCATTTTCATCATAAACAAACCTTTGTGAAAAATGAGCTTCACGGATAAGATACCACCCCCATTCATCAGAACCAAATTGCTTGAAAAAGCCTCGTGCATCAAATGAATCGAACTTTCTTGTCCTTTCCCCCCTGAGTAATTCAAGTCCCAAATATTAACCAACCCAGTAAGAAACAAGAAATTAAGCACTAACTGAAAGAAATGAAACAAAAATAAATCAACAGAGGAAAAAGAAAGAAATCATTATCGGAAAAAAAAAGTATAGCACCTTTCCCTGTGTCTTGCCGTTCAAAATATAACGCAGGGATGGACCCCCGGGGGGGGAGGGGATAACCCTCCGAAGTTTTGAAAAAACTCCCTAAATATAGTGTGGGGATGTATTTTCTGAATACCAACACGTGGCATGGTGACGCCGACGTGTCAGTCGAGGTGCCACGTGTCCTAGTAGTTAAGCCGAGATAATCTCGGAGAAGCCGATGTTATCTCCAAAGATGTCGGAATCCGAGATAAGGGACAAGAGTCCTAGGATGGAGAGGGGACTTAACCAAGATAAGGATAAAACTCTTAGAGAGTTTATCTTTATCTCTTAAAGAATCCAAAGTAAACATTAATATGAAGTTCATAGAAGTCATACTTCTATTGGGACTTGGATTGAGTATATTATAAAAGAAAGGCACCCCCATAGGTCTAAGGTATGCAATTTATGTTTTGAGTATTCAGTTTAGCACTTGATTATCTTTGAGAGATATACTGACTTGATCGTCGGAGTGCCCCCGGGTGGAAGAACCACCGCCGGAGCTTTTTCTTTCTGTTACAGGTTGCTAAAGCCATCTATTCTGCCTGTGCTCTCCAGCTGATCACTAAACGGGCAGTGTGGTTAGATTTTCACCCACACAATTTGGCGCCGTCTGTGGGAACGAAGGAAGAATAAATGGCCAGCAACGGACAACAGGAAAAAACTGGGGATGACGCTCCCACTGGGAGTGTCAGACCAATTGATCTTGACATTGAAGGAGACAACCACAATACAGAAGCCCGTGACCAAGGTCACAGAGAGAACGACGTCATCCCAGAAGGCGACACGTCAAAAAAGACAAATCAAGGAAAGTACTACAATGAAGATAACCTCCAGGTATGGAGGGACATGTGCCTACGGAGGGATGAGGAAGTGAAAGAACTGGCGAACAAGTTGGCGGACCTTCAGTCAGTCGTCAACTTCATGATGCAGAATAATGTTATGCAGCCACCATACCCGCTGCAAGATACGCCGATGCCAGCGACCAACACCCAGAAGGGTGGAAGAAAAACAATCCCCGAGGTCCCTCAGCATACCAGGAGCGGAAGGCATTCTCACCGGCCTTCCAGGAAAGTCGGACGGGAAAAGCCGAGGCAAGAAGAGTCCCGAAGGACACACCACATGAAGAATCCAGACCCCAAAGAACATCGACATGTTCAGGGGCAAGTACTCCACTTTGACACAACCCATGAAGAAAGATCCAAACGGACCCACCACGAGGCCGAAAGCAGTGTACCAAAAAGACTAAAATCCAAAGACAGCCGAGCTCCAGGGAGGAGCAAAGAAGACCTGAGGGACTACCTCAAAAGGAGGCAGCAGAATGCAGAAGCCGAGGTAAACTCCCCAGTAAAACCGAAAACAGCCTTCTCGGTGGAACTGGACAAATTCGAACCACCAGTAGAATTTATTGTAGATTGCTTATGCAATGTTGTTGTGTGTGAAGGTATGTGACCATAAATGGCAATCCTGATCCTTCAAAGAACCTTTTCTACTACTTTGTTGTCTCCGAAAGAAATCCATCAAATAATCCGGTAGTTCTAAATATCTTTAATAATAATAATAATAATAATAATAATAATAATAAATATCTTTAATTTCTCAGAGATGAATAGGCTTAAATATCTTTAATTTCGTTGCAATATTTCACTTCAATTTGGATGCTATCCACCTCGTTTGGGTTAGAAATTCTATTACTCTGCAGATTCTTATTGTTTACCCATTGAAAATGACACGTCCTTTGTTTGTTAGATTAAATTATATTGTTAGTGTGCTTTTTACCTAGTGAGTAACAAAAATTGTTTAATAAATTTCAAGTTCTTAATTAAATTGAGTTGAATGTTAGGTGAATTATGGTGAACAAAAAAATTGATTCTTTCTTTAAGAAAAGTGGCTCTCAAGATATAGAAGTTAATGCAACTACAAAACCTTCCACTGATAATGTTGAAGCTTCAATTCCTGAACAACGTCCTTGTAAAGTTCCTAGAATAGAATCCAAAGAAGTTGATACATCTTCTTTGGTAAGGGATCTAGGACTACGACCACAAATTTGGGATTATTTGATATCTCAACGTGATGAGATTCGACGAGCTTACATCAAATTTGGACCATACCAACTTGACAACCAACCTTTTGAAGAGAAGAATGGGCGTCATTTTCTAGTTTCTTGGTACAAGTTTTTTCTAGATTGGCTAGAATATTCTCCAACCAAACATTGTGCCTTTTGTCTTCCTTGCTATCTTTTTACAAAACCGAATGGATGCACTACTTTTAGCACTTTCATTTCTGATGGATTTTCTTCATGGAAAAAAGTCAATAGTGGGAAGAATTGTGCTTTCTTAACTCATATGGGAAAGGGTCCTAATTCATCGCACAGAATTGCTGTTAAATCTTGCCATGATTTAACAAATCAAGCGCAACACATTGAGAAGATAGTTGAGAAACAAACTTCTCAACAAGTTGCAAAAAACCGTTTGTGGTTGAAGACTACAATAGATGTTGTCAAATGACTTACATTTCAAGCTTGTGTATTTAGAAGTTGTAATGAAGGTCATGATTCTCATAATCGAGGGAATGTTATTGAATTGATAAAGCTCTTGGCATCTTATAATGCAGATGTGGCAGATGTTGTGTTACACAAAGCTCCTCAAAATGCTTCATACTACTTGCATCAAATTCAAAAAGAGATTCTTAGTATTTTCTTTGAAAAAATACAATGATTCATTCGTGAGGAGATTGATGAAGCAAAATTTTGCATTATAGTGGATGAAGCTTGAGATGAATCAAAGAGGGAGCAAATGGCCATTGTTCTAAGATTTGTTGATAAATATGGTTTTATAAAGGAGCGCTTTTTTGACATAGTTCCTGTATCGGATACAACATCAGCAACTTTGAAAGAAGAAATATGTATTGTCCTATCTCGTCATAATCTCAGTGTACAAAATATTCGTGGTCAAGGGTATAATGGTGCTAGTAATATGCATGGAGAGTGGACTGGGTTGCAGGTCTTATTTCTTCATGACTGTCATTTTGCGTATTATGTTCATTGCTTTGCTCATCGACTCCAATTAGCATTGGTAGCGATAGCAAGAGAGGTTATACCTGTTGCCCAATTTTTTTCTTATCTAGCTCTCACAGTTAATCTATGTAGCTCTTCTTGTAAAAGGCATGATCAATTGAAAGTTGCTCAAGCTGAAGAAATTGCAGCAAAACTTGCCATTGATGAAGTTGAAACTGGTAAAGGCAAAAATCAAGTTAGGACATTGAAACGGGCTAGAGATACTCAATGGGGTTCTCACTTGGGATCTATTTCCAGTTTGATAAATATGTTTGCTGCAACTTGTTCAGCCTTAAGTGATGTCATCAATGATGGAACCACCTCTACTCAACGTGCAGATGCAGATGGAGTTTATGATAAGATTACATCTTTTGAGTTTGTGTTTATCTTACATCTTATGAGAGATATTATGGGGACTACTAATGATCTTTGCCAAGCTTTGCAATGTAAATCCCAAGATATATTGAGTGCAATGCATCTAGTATCAACTACAAAAGCACTTGTTCAAAAATAAAGAGAAGATTGATGGATTTCTTTGTTAGAGAATGTTCAACTATTTTGTGAAAAATATAACATAGATATTCCTGATTTGAGTGCTCGTTACACATCTGGTAGAGGTCATGCTTGTCACCAAAGAGATCACATTACTATTGAGCATCATTTTCGGGTTGATATTTTTATAATTATATGTGATTCTCAATTGCAAGAATTGAACAACAGACTCAAAGAAGTTGTGATGGAGTTGCTTATTCTTAGCTCTGCTTTAGATCCTAGGGATGAATACAGTTCGTTCAAAATTGAAGATATATGAAAGCTTGCAAATCAATTTTATCCTAATGATTTTACAGAGCAAGAAAAAATACATTTGAAATTCCAATTGCAAAATTACGAGATTGACATCCTTAAACATCCTAAGTTTCAGTAGTTGTTGACAATTTCTGAATTGTGCCAAATGTTGGTAACAACAAGGAAGTCAACAATTTTTCCTCTTGTCGCTAGATTAATTCGTCTTGTTCTAACTTTACCAGTTTCTACGGTGACAACAGAACGTGCATTTTCAGCCATGAAAATTGTAAAGACTAGATTGCGCAACATGATGGAGGATGATTTTCTTTCAAGCTACTTGTTAACATATGTTGAGAAAGATATTGCTCGAGATTTTGATGTAGATTCTATCATAGATGCTTTTTATATTATGAAAGAACGTCGAGCACAACTTTAGATGCCTAAGTAAATATGTAAAGCAAATAGTTGCTTTTTTGAAAATTAATATGGAGTTACTAGTGTGAGAACCCGAATATAAAAATTAAGTAAATAATTAAATAATAATTTTACAAATCTCAAATATTTTATTATGAATCTTTAAGTGCAAATTAAATAAGATTTTTCCTATTTGATAATATCACACCATCCAATTAAAAAAGAATTCATTCAGAAACATTACCAATCAAATCACGATCCACAAAAACCCAACAAAATGAAAGTGGAAAATGCACAGAACCAGAATGAAATCCAACACACGGATCGGGCTTAGTTACACAGAGAAGTCGGTTCGACGAGTTCCAAAATTAAAAAATTCTTTGAATTTAATCTAATCCATAAATCAAATCAAATATGTAGTTCTTAATTTGATTAGAAAATCTGATATCAAAATTGATTCCATCTCGTCTAATTTAATTTGATTTCTACTCAGACTCCCCTGTTATCAACATTTTCATGGCCGGCGCTGCCGATTCAAAGCCTTTTGTCTGTGGTTTCAAGTTGTGGAGGCCATTTGTGATATTTGTGTGGGGCTGTTTCAAAGGAACAGCGACAATTGATTGTTGAAATTTGTTGCTGAAAACCCAAAATCAATGATTCGAGAAGCCATTTTAGAAAGACAAAAATACAGAGCATTATGGCATGTTGAACTTGGAACTCTTTCATGTATATAACTAGCAACATATTATGGTGAACATCTTTCAAATTAAAGAAGGTTTATCATACCTAACTTATAATTAAAAAGAAAGATGACATAATTTTAATTTTTTGAGTCACAATTTAAAAAAAAAAAAATTATATCATAACTAAATACAATATGAGACATAACTAAAAAATTTATGAGTCAAAACTAAAATAATATCATAATTAAAGAAAAAAATAATATAATTAAGAACATATGATGCATCCTTTTAAAAGAGTATATATTAGAATTTTTTATTTAACTAACCATGGATTCATCTATTCATCCCCCATTTCAATTTTGGAACCGATTAATCACGACATTCAAAACAAGTAAACTAATGAATTTTTTTTAACAAGATAAGAGTAATTTTATTCAATCTTAAATGGGCTCAAACATCTTGAAGTATGTTCCAAAACTTTTGAACCACGGAACTCAAAATGATAACTTGGTGAGCCAACAACGATCTCTTATTGACATAAAGCACATAGTAACTATAAACTACATTCAGAAAGTTGGACTGTTGTAACAGCCTCGCTAGAATTAAAACAAAAGAGCATGATAATAATCATTACCAAAGAACAACCAAATATTACTTGCACTCTATTCCTACTGAAAGTAATGTAAGCAACTGAATCTTCATAGGAAAGAATCAATCTCATTCTGTACTCTCAGGAAAAGGAATGGAAGCAAAACAATGGTAATAGCCATTTTCATCATAAACAAACCTTTGTGAAAAATGAGCTTCACGGATAAGATACCACCCCCATTCATCAGAACCAAATTGCTTGAAAAAGCCTCGTGCATCAAATGAATCGAACTTTCTTGTCCTTTCCCCCCTGAGTAATTCAAGTCCCAAATATTAACCAACCCAGTAAGAAACAAGAAATTAAGCACTAACTGAAAGAAATGAAACAAAAATAAATCAACAGAGGAAAAAGAAAGAAATCATTATCGGAAAAAAAAAGTATAGCACCTTTCCCTGTGTCTTGCCGTTATTTTAAAATTATATAGGTTCATCACTCTAAAATTTTTACAAAAAATTTAAGAACTGCCACCTCCTAAATTTTCTACTTTAAAATTAAAAAAAATCAATTATTTTTTTTGATAAATACTAAAAATAATAATAATAATAATTTATTTTTTAAATATGATTACTTTTTATTTTAAATTTAATAATGTTAAAATAATTGAGAATTTATTTATTAATATGTTAAAATCTTTTTTATTTGATTAGGGTATAAATTTTTTAGTTGTTTGGTTATAACTAAATAAAATAAAATAAAAAAATAATACTCATATGCCCTACACTTGAGTTGAAAAGGTCTCCAAATTCTTATTAACATAATTCTTTAAGCCCCTTCTCCACCACTTTACTCTCTCTCTCTCTCGGTTTTGGGATTATCACTGAAGCAGCACTAAAGGTTTCTCTGATTACAAGCCTTCCTGGGTTCAACGGTACCTTCCCTTCAAAACACTGGGTATGCAATTCAATCCTATATACATTTATAACTACTCTACAATTTCTACATATCTATACATAGAGATTTGAATGTAGTAGAATTTATTGTAGATTGCTTATGCAATGTTGTTGTGTGTGAAGGTATGTGACCATAAATGGCAATCCTGATCCTTCAAAGAACCTTTTCTACTACTTTGTTGTCTCCGAAAGAAATCCATCAAATAATCCGGTAGTTCTAAATATCTTTAATAATAATAATAATAATAATAATAATAATAATAAATATCTTTAATTTCTCAGAGATGAATAGGCTTAAATATCTTTAATTTCGTTGCAATATTTCACTTCAATTTGGATGCTATCCACCTCGTTTGGGTTAGAAATTCTATTACTCTGCAGATTCTTATTGTTTACCCATTGAAAATGACACGTCCTTTGTTTGTTAGATTAAATTATATTGTTAGTGTGCTTTTTACCTAGTGAGTAACAAAAATTGTTTAATAAATTTCAAGTTCTTAATTAAATTGAGTTGAATGTTAGGTGAATTATGGTGAACAAAAAAATTGATTCTTTTTTTAAGAAAAGCGGCTCTCAACATATAGAAATTAATGGAACTACAAAACCTTCCACTGATAATGTTGAAGCTTCAATTCCTGAACAACGTCCTTGTAAAGTGCCTAGAATAGAATCCAAAGAAGTTGATACATCTTCTTTGGTAAGGGATCCAGGACTACGACCACAAATTTGGAATTATTTGATATCTCAACGTGATAAGATTCAACGAGTTTACATCAAGTTTGGACCATACCAACCTAACAACCAACCTTTTCAAGAGAAGAATGTGCGTCATTTTCTAGCTTCTTGGTACAAGTTATTTCCAGATTGGCTAGAATATTCTCCAACCAAACATTGTGCCTTTTGTCTTCCTTGCTATCTTTTTACAAAACCGAATGGATGCACTACTTTTAGCACTTTCATTTCTGATGGATTTTCTTCATGGAAAAAAGTCAATAGTGGGAAGAATTGTGCTTTCTTAACTCATATGGGAAAGGGTCCTAATTCATCGCACAGAATTGCTGTTAAATCTTGCCATGATTTAACAAATCAAGCGCAACACATTGAGAAGATAGTTGAGAAACAAACTTCTCAACAAGTTGCAAAAAACCGTTTGTGGTTGAAGACTACAATAGATGTTGTCAAATGACTTACATTTCAAGCTTGTGTATTTAGAAGTTGTAATGAAGGTCATGATTCTCATAATCGAGGGAATGTTATTGAATTGATAAAGCTCTTGGCATCTTATAATGCAGATGTGGCAGATGTTGTGTTACACAAAGCTCCTCAAAATGCTTCATACTACTTGCATCAAATTCAAAAAGAGATTCTTAGTATTTTCTTTGAAAAAATACAATGATTCATTCGTGAGGAGATTGATGAAGCAAAATTTTGTATTATAGTAAATGAAGCTCGAGATGAATCAAAGAGGGAGCAAATGGCCATTGTTCTAAGATTTGTTGATAAATATGGTTTTATAAAGGAGCGCTTTTTTGACATAGTTCCTGTATCGGATACAACATCAGCAACTTTGAAAGAAGAAATATGTATTGTCCTATCTCGTCATAATCTCAGTGTACAAAATATTCGTGGTCAAGGGTATAATGGTGCTAGTAATATGCATGGAGAGTGGACTGGGTTGCAGGTCTTATTTCTTCATGACTGTCATTTTGCGTATTATGTTCATTGCTTTGCTCATCGACTCCAATTAGCATTGGTAGCGACAACAAGAGAGGTTATACCCGTTGCTCAATTTTTTTCTTATCTAGCTTTCATAGTTAATCTATGTGGCTCTTCTTGTAAAAGGCATGACCAGTTGAAAGTTGCTCAAGCTAAAGAAATTGCAGCAAAACTTGCCATTGATGAAGTCGAAACTGGTAAAGGCAAAAATCAAGTTAGGACATTGAAACGGGCTAGAGATACTCAATGGGGTTCTCACTTGGGATCTATTTCCAGTTTGATAAATATGTTTGGTGCAACTTGTTCAGTCTTAAGTAATGTCATCAATGATAGAGCCATCTCTACTCAACATGCAGATGCAGATGGAGTTTATGATGAACCAACCTAGTCTGTCACCCCGTTGGAGAATAGGGAAAGTTGTGAATGTGGTTAGGAAAAAAAGTGGCATCCCAAGTGTTCTACGTGAAGGACCCTTGTTAGCATTTCAGAGCCTTTGAACTGTAAGTTGAAGGTAAGTGTTCGAAGAGCACAGGGGAAGATTCCCATCGGAGCAGAACGGTTCACCGCCACTCACCTCATGAGGTGCTTTCTAAAACGCTGTTTTGTCTATTTATTGCTTTTCTTAAGCATCATGTATTGTATTGCATTGTACCTATCAAGTTTCTTTCTCATTCATGCACGATATTGTATGTACGGTTCATTCAAAGAGGTTCCGTTTGAGATCCTTTACTTAAGTGTATCAATCACACTTCTTTCATTTTGTGTATCTATCACATACATTCTCAACTTTAGTGCATCTATCACACTTTGTGTTCGCTTTTATTATATCCATCATACTTGTTCACTAAGTGCATTTATTACACTTCGTGTTCACATTTAGTATATCAATCATACTTTGTTCACTAAGTGCATCTGTCACACTTTGTGTTCACCTTTAGTGTATCCATCACACTTTGCTCACTTCACCCTTTGTATATCAATTACACTTTGCTCAAATAGTGTATCTATCACACAAGCTCACACTATGCCTACTTTGTGTATCAATCACACGCGTTCGCTCTGTGTATCAATCACACACTCCCGC